TTCCCTTATGTATTTCAACCACCGACCACCACTGAGCCAACGGATTGAACCGGAGTGAACCGGATTTCTCCTGCATTGCCGGATCACACAGTTTTGTCAGAAAGCATGGGTATCCAGCTAGTATGTATACATTTGTGTGAGCACGTATGCACATTTATATGCCTACACACCCAAGCACATCTGCATTTGCTCACACTTGCACTTTACACTTATTTGCTTACGACTCTATCATATAAATAGCATGGGAGATAATTCCGATTGTAGACTGAAACACTCAATTTATTTGTGGCTGTTCAAACTCTAACCCTTGACCTGTAGGAAGATTGTCTGCTCTTACATCCAGTTTGCATAGTGGAATGAAACCACTTCCTCTCTTCTTGAGTCAGTGTTTTATCGGAAGAACGCACACCAGTTGTGTTTCAAATAAAGTTGACTCTTTTTTTGGCTTCCTTTCTGTTCCATGTAATGCAATTATGTTAATAAAACCTAGCATGAGGAAGCATTTGCGAACGTTTTCAGACAAAATGCTTTGGTGGTATTTAGAAATCCTTTTCTAAGAATGGGCATGGCTCCGAAACAGTGCTGGAAATAAACCTGATATTTGAACTTGATGCTCTGCTAATGTCATATTAACTTCCCTTTCATTTTTTTTTATGGGGAACAACCCCCTACCCCAAACTTTTGAAAAATACAATATGGACAAAGCCATATTGCCTGCCTTGGCCACTATCAGACCGAGGTTAATTTTGAAGACCAAAATTCTTACAGAAGCACCAGTCCTACAGAGATCATTTCAATGCTGATGACTTTAAATAACTTCTTTGGAAATGTATGAAGAGCTGTTCCATATGAAAACAAGACTATCTGAATATAATTTATGTAAATTTTAGTCAAATATGAAAGAACATGTAAGAAGTCAAGAGTTACAATGCTGAATATGTATTTATATAAGATAGATGATAGATAGACAGACAGACAGACAGACACTGTTTAAGGCCAAAATGTTAGATAGGCTCTTCAGAATCAAGAGTTATGATGCTGAATATACATTTATATTAGATAGATAGATAGATAGATAGATAGGTAGGTAGNTTCTAACTGTTAGGAAATTTCTCCTCAGTTCTAAGTTGCTTCTCTCCTTAATTAGTTTCCACCCATTGCTTCTTGTTCTGCCCTCAGGTGCTTTGGAGAATAGTTTGACTCCCTCTTCTTTGTGGTAACCCCTGAGATACTGGAACACTGCTATCATGTCTCCCCTAGTTCTTCTTTCTATTAAACTAGACATACTCAGTTCCTGCAACCGTTCTTCATATGTTTTAGTCTCTTCCCCTAATCATCTTTGTTGCTCTTCTCTGCACTCTTTCTAGAGTTTCCACATCTTTTTTACATCGTGGCAACCAAAACTGGATGCAGTGTTAATGTGACTTTGGTTGTTAGAAACTAGCTGGGAAGGACTTAAATGGCCACTATATGACCCTGGGATGCTGCAACCATTTTAAATGCATGCCACTTGCCAAGTGCCCGAATTGAGACCCTATAACATGATGGCAAACCTATGGCACGCATGCCACAGGTGGCATGCAAAGCCCTCTCTGCGGGCACACCAGCTGTTGCCCCAGCCCAGCTCCACTGTGGATGTGCACATGCCTTTGCCGGCCAGCTGATTTTCAGGTCTCTGCCGCACAGGCATGGGAGGGGAGGGGCACATGTGGGGGATGCATGTGGGAGCATGTGCGGGGGTCACTAGCATTGCATTTTGGGTGTGTGTGTGCATCCCCCCTGTGCTCCGTTTTGGGCCTGGAAGGCCTCCTGCACCAACCTGAAAGCCCAAAATGGGTAGGGCGGGCGGGGCCAGAAGTGGGGTCCCACCGGTTCTGACCGGTTTGGCCGAGTAGGTAGTAACTCGGCCTGCCATGCCCCCAAACTGGTTCTCTCCTATGGCGTGTTGCTGAGCAAACTGGCAGCCGGAATCCACCCCTGGGCAGGGCGCGTGCGTGGGGATGTGCGCACATGCACTGGGATAGGCACGTATGCGCTGTGGTGCAGGGTGCATGTGTGGGGGGGGACTTGCATTGCATTTGGGACTTGCTTGCGCTGGTGCATGCTCTTTGGGCACTTGGCACAAAAATGGTTAGCCATCACTGGTGATACGGCTTCCTGTTTGATCAGGGGGTTGGACTAGAAAACCTCCAAGGTCCCTTCCAGCTCTGTTATTCGGATGAGTTGACTTGTTGTGAAGTCCACGCCAGGCCTTTTAGCATAAAGGCAACCTTCGGTGCTCCTTGTCTTTCCCCAAGGAAAAGTTCACACTAAAACCCTAGCCATGTGCAATTTCACATCCTCCCTCCACTTGCTGTGCTCCTGAGAGGGAGAAAGTAGATTTCCTTTTCCTGCACTATCACTGAACTGTCACTTCTGCCTTCCTGGGTGATTCGCGACAGAGCAAACCTAACCTCCATTAGATTCACGGACACTTCCTCTTTGGTGAGAAGCAGCAACACTGCAAATGTCATTTTATCTCTTTGCTCTGTTAAGAGTTGTAACTTCGGGTTCGATCGGCTAGAAAGGCCGCCAAGTTGCGAGAGTCTGTATCCCCCGGACGCTGCGTTTTACGCACCCCCCCTCCAAAAAAACAGCCTTAAAAATACATCCTGAACGAAAAGCCATTTCGAAGAGAATCACAGCTTTCCCTGTTCATATAATCCAGGCTGCCATTTTTTCTTTCTTTCAGTTGTTCTTGTCTGCAGTGTCATTCATTGCTTAAAGCTAACTTCCTGACCCGTGTGTGTGTGTGTGTGTGTGTGTGTGTGTGTGTGTGTTTGTTTGTTCCCCACCCATCTTGGTTTTTGTTTTGTTTTTTGCTCCATCTCTTTGGAAATAAGCCATGCAAACAGCTGTTGCTCCAGCTGCGTATTTTACTGGGTGCTCTTCAGATGGTTTAAAGTTTAAATATAGTCCGTCCCTCTGCAAAAGTGAACGTTATTTGCTCTAAGCTGACATAATGCAAAACGTCCATTTCCTCTTTTTCCCCCACACGGCAGCCCTGCAGGGGCCCTCAAACATAACTCAGTACTTGCTGTTCCTACAACGTCATAAGGCAAGTTGTTAATCCACTGGTTTATTGTTCTCGCGGTCAGGAAATTTCTCCTTAGTTCTAGGTTTAAAGTCTGTAGAGATTCTCAGTCATCCAGGTAGGTCATGATTGTCCCAAAGGTGCTTTTTCAGGAGGCAACTGGACGTCCTTGTTATTTTTCTCTTTTGAAGAGGTTTCGATTCTCATCCAAGAAGCTTCTTCAGCTTTGAAGGGATAGTGGGGAATGGAAGGATTTTTATTCCTTGCAGACAGCAAGAAATCTGCATCCTTTTAGAGGGTCGTTGAAGCACTTTTTCTGTGGGTTTTTTTCTGTGTCCTCGGGGTCACTTGAGTAGTGCAAATGGTTCCTGTAGTCTGCAATTTTTGCAGTTCTGGGTTGCTTCTCTCCTTGATTAGTTTCCATCCGTTGCTGTTGTGGCCCGCCAGTGGAGCTGGCAGCAGATTCGGACAGTGAGGAGGTTGGGGAGGAACATGGGCCAGTCCTGGAGTCTGAGGGCTCTGTGTCAGAGGCAGAGATGGGGCCAGAGTTGTATGCCAGTTATCAGCTGCCTTCGGAGTCAGACATCAGTGAGGCAGATGAACAGCTGGAGCCTGTTCCCTGTGTGCACATGCACAGAGTTGCCAGACAAAGGGAACAGCTAAAGAATAGGGGTCGACTTGGAAGTAAGGCCACATGTGGATGATGAATGGCCCTTCCCAGAGGAAATAAAAGAGGAGCGAAAGGGGAGTGGAATTTGCAGGAGACAATTAGTTCGCTTAATTGGTTCATGACTCTCTAAGACTCCTTGCCAAGTTCTGCAGATATTGGCCTGGCAGCTCTCCAAGCNTTCTGTGTGCCTTTGGCATTTAGTCATGCCGGTCACATGACCACGGAGACATCTTCAGACAGTGCTGGCTCTTCGGCTTTGAAATGGAGATGAGCACCCCCCCCCCTAGAGTCGGGAACGACTAGCACATATGTGCAAAGGGAACCTTTACCTTTATGGTAGGTTTATTCACAACCACACCAGAACCCCATTAAAATCCTGGCCCCAGTGCCTAAAACTAGATGTTCACCCTTTTCAGAAAATCAGCAGGGATGGGGCAGTCCTTATCTCAGGGCGGAGGGGGGAGAGCTGTTCCACGGACGTGTCAGAGAAAACTTATAGAATCATTTAACCCTTTGGTGCCAAAACGAAAAAAATGGGAACAGGGTTGCTATCACTTGGATGATGGTTGAATGGTCTTCGGGAGGTGCCCTATGTTTCAAGTATAAAAATGATCCTTATGTACAAATGCAAAGTTCTACTTGCACTCTGGTGATCAAGTGAGAAATACGACTAACCAACTCTCTCTAGTTTTTTGCTGGTTAGATGACAACGTTTTTTGGGCCGTTGTTCAACCTCAGATGAGTTTCCTATAGCAGTTTTACCCAAGAGTTTGATTATGAAATGGGATTCAGTAGCCATCCTGGAGGAAGGGGCTTGTGCTGAAATAACCCTTTTTTAAAATAACCCTTTTTAAAATTTTTTCATTTTCATACAAATAACCACATGTATATCGTTACATAACCAAAACTATTTTTTAAATATTTATGTCAATTTGTCTTACCATCAACCCTCAAAAACTATTATTGGCTCTCCTGCTCTTCATACACCATATTTGTACCCTATCCATCACTTTCTTCTCCCTCTCTCCTCTTCCCTATCTCCTTTCTTCCCTCTGTCGTCCTTCTCCTCTCTCCTCTTTCCACTCCTTCTTTCTCTCCTCCTCTTCCCCCCTCTTCCCTCTCTCCTAATCCTTTCTTTTTCCTCTTGCCACTCTCCTCTCTTTCACACTCTTCATCTCATTTACATGGTGAATTTCATGCTGAAATAACCTTGACATTTTAGATTTCTTTCATTGTCTTTTTTTTTTTCTTTTTCAGTGGATTTAACGGAAATCAAGGAAATCAGACCAGGGAAAAATGCGAAGGATTTTGAGCGTGGAAAGGGGGCACGTCAGAAGGAGGAGCACTGCTTCACCATTTTTTATGGCACTCAGTTTGTTCTCAACACTTTAAGCCTAGCAGGTAAAACCTATTGTGTCTGAATCTCCCCTTTAAAATATAGGATTGTAACGTTACTCCTTCCAAATGCGTGTTGGCATCTTCATATTTATTCCCAACTGCAAATATTTTTTTGAGGGAGACTGGCGCTACCTGTAAGGATAACAAATAAACAGAATAGAATTATTTTGGAAAGCTGCAAAGATCAGACATCCCTGAAATTCTGGATCACATCTAACATAGGGTCAAACTTGCAAGGTAGACCAGACAAGGATCGCAGCCACAAAGTACTAAGTAGCCTTAAATTTACAGTTAAGATTAAGTTAACAGAATTTTGCAAGTCAGAAGGTACATCTCTACCCCTGCTCACCTTTACTGTCCAAGAAACTAGGGAAGGTCTTCTTCTGTGGACTCCCCTGACCACTGAGGTAGTCCTCGACTTACGAACACAGTTGGGACCAGGATTTCCTATGCTAAGTAAAAAAGTAAGGCATTTATCAAGTGTGTCACCCCATATTTTCCCATCTTTTTCTTGCCAAGAAACCATTTATGATGGTTGCGGTATCCCTGGGTCATGTGATTGTCATTTGCAATCTTCCTGTTGTGGCCGGCCAATGGAGCTAGCAGCAGATTCGGGCAGTGAGGAGGTTGGGGAAAAACATGGGCCAGTCCTGGAGTCTGGGGAAGGCTCTGATGAGGGCTCTGTGTCAGAGGCAGAGGTGGGGCCAGGGCTGTCCGACAGTTATCAGCAGACTTCAGAGTCAGAGATCAGTGGGGCAGAAGAACAGGTGGAGCCTGTTCCCTGTGTGCGCATGCACAGAGTTGCCAGACGATGGGGACAGCTCAGGGACAAGGGTCGAATTGGGAGTAAGGCCACAGGTGGATGGTGAATGGCCCCTCCCAAAGGGAATAAAAGAGGAGCGAAAGGGGAGTGGAGTTTGCAGGAGACAATTAGTTCATTCCTGCATTCTTGCCAAGTATCGTGGCATCTGAAAGATATCAGCCTGGCCACTCCAAGCCTGATAAAGGTTAGTAATTGTAAACTATCTTGAAAGACTGTGGGCTGGGAATTTGCTGGAGAGGAATTCTTTTTAAGACGTGTGGACTTCAACTTCCAGAATTAGAGTTAGAATTAGAACTAGGAATAGAACAGAACAAAATAGAACAACAGAGTTGGAAGGGACCTTGGAGGTCTTCTAGTCCAGCCTCCTGCTCAAGCAGGATATCCTATACTATTGCAGACGAGTGGCTGTCTAGTCTCTTCTTAAAAACCTTCAGTGATGAAGCAGCTACAATTTTTGAAGGCAGGTGGTTCTGATGGTTAATTGTTCTCACTGTCAGGAAATTTCTCCTCAGTTCTAAGTTGCTTCTCTCCTTGATTTGTTTCCACCCATTGCTTCTTGTCCTGCTCTCGGATGCTTTGGAGAATAGCTTGACTCCCTTTTCTTTGGGGCAACCCCTGAGATATCGGGACACTGCTATCATGTCTCCCCTAGTCCTTCTTTTCATCAAACTAGACATACCCAATTCCAGCAACCGTTCTGCATATGTTTCAGTTTCTGGGAATTGATGCCCACATATCTTAAAATGGCTGAGTTTTGGAGGGAAAAGGCTCCAAAAGTTTAAAACAGTGGTTCCCAACCTTTTGGGCACCAGGGACCAGTTCCGTGGGAGAGAGGTTTTTCCATGGATGGGAGGAGGCATGGTTTCACGTCCTGCCTGCATCCCACGGATGGGGCTTTGCTTGTTTGCCAGTTTGTGGCATGCTGCAGATCAGTGCCAGTCCACGAATGTGGAGGTTGGGGACCCCTGGTTTAATGTATCTTTTTTAATTAAAAAAAAAATTCAAGGAATTCCTCTCAGACATTTTGCTTTCCTTCAGAAGTATGCAATTTATTCTTGTGCGGTGGGATAACAGATGTTTCTCATTTTTGGTGATGGGGTGGGTTTTTTTTTTTTTTGCAACATCAAGTTTCTTAATTTGCATCTTTACATTTCCTTTCCATGGCAGCTGACTCAAAGGAGGAGGCGGACAAATGGCTTTGTGGGTTGAATATTTTGTATCAGGAAGCTATAAACGCAGGCACCCCAGCAATTACAGAGAGGTATGTGGAAGAGCTTCTTTGTATTTATATATAGCAGTCTTTCTCAACCTTGGCAACTTGAAGATGTCCGGACTTCAACTCCCAGAATCCCCCAGCCAGCGAATGCTGGCTGGGGAATTCTGGGAGTTGAAGTCCGGACATCTTCAAGTTGCCAAGGTTGAGAAACACTGATATATAGCAACAGAATAACAAAATGACAGCGTTGGAAGGGACCTTAGAGGTCTTCTATTCCAACCTCCTGCTCAAGCAGGAGACCTATACCATTCCAAGTAGCTATTCAGACTCTTCTTAGAAACCTCCAGTGTTGAAGCAACCACAACATCTGAAGGCAAACTGTTCCATCCATTGCTTCTAGTCCGGTCTTCTGGTGCTTTGGAAAATAGGTTGACCTCCCCTCTTTTTCCTTCAAATATTAGGCTATTATGTTACTCCTGGTCCTTCTTTCCACTAGACTAGAAAAACCCAATTATGTACACTATACATACACATGTCATTTAACTGATCAGTCACGGTTGCTGACTTAACGAATCATTTTAACTCAGTTTTCGGATGGGTCTGAAGTATCTTCGTCCCCCTCAGACTTAAATTCACACCTCTCACATCCTCCTCTTCCTTCTTCCCCTTCCCCTTCTCCTGTTTCTCCATCTTCCTCTTCCTGGGCTGATTGTACATAGGTAATTCTAACATGCTGTTGATGATACATCAACTCCATGCTGAAGGTGATCTCTGTACTCGTAAATAAGAATTTGTCACATTCACATTTATAACTCACTAGCCGATAACCTGGAGTTGTCCAGATATTTATTTATAGGGGGAAAATGTCTGGACCAAACATAATTTCTAATGTTGGATTTTCCCCCTTACCATAGGGAGCCCCCTCATGGAGTACTGTGAAGCCGTTACCATGGCAACTCCACTACGCTGTACAGCAGAAGCCATTTTATGGCAGTACAGTAGAAGCCATTTAAAGGCACAACAGGCTACATCTTAACAGAACACACATCCTGAGGAATGTTAGGAGTGTCTTACCCTCGCAGTATTTTTCTCCAGAGAGTAAGTCACCAGTTTGGTTGAAATTGCTCGAGGTGTTCCAGAGTTATGCTGGAAAACACACACACACAGACACACAGACACACACACACACACACAGCCCCCCCCCTATATGTATGTATGTATGTATCAGGGGTGGGTTTCTCGCCCCGTTCCAACCAGTTTGGTTGGAACGGGGCCGGCGGCGTCCTCGTGCGCGTGCGCGGTGCACGCATGCGTACTAGCGTCTGTGCGACGCTCCAGCTGCTCCTGGAGGATCGCGCAGGCGCTGTATGCGTCCTGCGCATGCGTGGAAGCGCAGAACCCGTCAAAACCGGGTAAGGACCGCGGGCGGGCGGGCGCGCCTTTCACCGTTCCCGGAAGTTACTTCCGGGTTCGCCGACCAACCGGTTCGCAGGGACCGCCGCGAACCGGTTGAAACCCACCCCTGGTATGTATGTATGTATGTATACACACACATACACAGAGCCCCCCCATCCTATATGTATGTATGTATGTTGTATTTGTGCTGATAAATAAATAAATGGAAGGAAGCAGTATGTCTCCTCCCATATTTGGGCATACCAGGGGTTGTGACACTAAATACATATACATATATATACATCCAAAATATTAGATAGGCTCTTCAGAATCTGTTCTATATGTCACAGAAAAAAAAGATAAATTTGGTACTGTTTGCACTTCATAAACAGTTATGTATTGAAACAGGAGCATTCATTAATGTTTTGATGTTTCATGTGTTGAAATTACAACACATCATTAAGTCTTCTGTTTACAAAACTAATCCTGGCTGTATTTTTATTGGCTCTTTAAAGCTGGCTGAGGAAGCTGATTTATTCGGTGGATCAATCCAGAAGGAACAGGTACTTATTCATTTTGGATTCTAAAGCTGCTCTGTTCCCCCCTCCCCTCTATTATGTATTTTTGTTGTAATTAAGTCACTTTAAAAAAAGAAAAGTCATTTAATTTCCACTATTAACTAAAGTTTGTCAGGAGCTTTGGTGTTCAACTGAGGTGGAATAGAATAGGAATAGGAAGAACAGGGATAGGGATAGAGTAGAATAGAATAGAATAGAATAGAATAACAGAGTTGGAAAGGGGCCTTGGAGGTCTTCTAGTCCAACCCCCTGCTTAGGCAGGAAATCTTACATCACTTCAGACAAATGGATATCCAATCTCTTCTTAAAAACCTCCAGTGTTGGAGCATTCACAATTTCTGGAGGCAAGTTGTTTCAGAATCTCAACTGTGAAAGCAGGACTGAAATGAATCATAAAATCAAAGGACAGGAATGGACCTTGGAGGTCTTCTAATCTAACTTCCTGTTCGTCAGGAGTCCTCATTCCATCCTGGACTTTTCTGTGGTCATTAAGTGAACTGTGGTCTTTAAGTGAACTCATTGTTCAGTATACTGCAGTTTTGCTAAAAAAAAAAATCAGTGGTGGGATTCAACCTTTTTTTACTACTGGTTGTGTGGGCATGGCAGGGGAAGGATAGTGTAAAATCCCCATTCCCTCCCCACTCCAGGGGAAGGTTACTGTAAAATCCCCATTTCCTCCCAATCAGCTGGATCTCGGGAGGCAGAGAATAGATGGGGGTGGGGCCAATCAGAGGTGGTGTTTGCCAGTTCTCCGAACTACTCAAAATTTCCGCTACTGGTTCTCCAGAACTGGTCAAAACCTGCTGAATACCACCTCTGATTTAAGTGCTGGGTTTTTAGCAAAATTGTGGTAAAACTTTATTGTGTGATTCTGGGACACCAGAAGATGGTTAATGCAACAGTGTTGCCCATTTTCTGAAGTGCGATCACATGATTGTGGGAGTGGGGGCAACTGTCAGAAATACGGATCTGGGTCATAAATCCTCTTTTTCAGGTAGGTTGCAACTTTGATTCACTAAATGACCAATTATAAACAGTTTATTTCTGCAGACTTAATTTAGTAGAATGGAAAACTCCTTCCTATAGAAAGTTGCTGTTTTCCATGTAGCATTTAGTCCCCAAAGTCCTCATTTTATGTATAATAGTATACTAGCCTTTATTGTCATTGCACATCATGTATACAACGAAATTGGTTTAGCCTCTACTGGTGCAGTCCATAACAAGAATACAAGACAATGTGAATAGTATAGGAAATAATCCTTATAAAAGTAATTGGGGGGAAAAAACCCTAGTCATACGTTTCTATATGTATGTGGAGTGATTGTGATTATGTTTAGGAATCTGATAGCCCATAGATAGAGTCTGTTTTTAAACCTGTTTGTCTGGCTGGCTATACTTCTGAACTTCTGCCCAATGATAAAAGTGAGAAACACTGACCTGGGTGTGAATCATCCCTAAATATCTTCCTAAGTATAATTCTTACTTGGTTCGGTGCAGGTAGTTGTCACTCCCTGCCTGCTAATCCCATGTGGTCTACAACAAGAGTCTCCAACCTTGGCAACTTTAAAACTTTAAACTTCGCTGGCTCAGGAATTCTGGGAATTGAAGTCCACAAGTCTTAAGGTTGCCAAGGTTGGTGACCCCTGGTCTACAGAACACCTGAAGGCAAATTCTGATGGTGACAAAGATGCTGGTTGGAAGTTTATGAGATTCTCAACCATCCAGGTCATGGTTGTCCCAAAGGTGCTTTTTGCACAAGGCAACTGGACTTTTCTGAAATTTTGAAGCTTCTTGGACGAGAAGCGAAATGTTAAAGGTGGAGGGGAAACACCAAGGAAGTCAAGTTGCCTTGTGGAAAAAGCACTTTTTGAGATAAACTGGTTGGAAAATTCAAGAAACAAGGCTTGTGCAAATGGGCACCAGTGCTGGGTTATTGTGCATCAAGTCAGAAGATGCCAGAGCAAGCTTCCACAGGAACTGAACTGTGGTGTGACCGAGGTTGGGTTATGAGTCTCAGGAGAAGGCTGAAGGGCTCAGCCCATCCTGTTATTTGATCCTAGACCACAACACCAAGCTGGCACCTTTGTTTAAATAAGAAACAACACAATAAAGAAAGAGTGTGATGAATGAGGGGCCCAAGGGGCAGGGGAAACTTTGCTGCTATCCTCGGCTGACTCTTGATTGTGTTCATAATACCAAATGGTAACACAGCTGGTGTTACCTCAAGGTAAGGGAAGTGAGATGATCTGCCTCTAACTTTCCAAATATTGCATTTTGTGGAAAGTTTGGAAATCTTTGCTTTAGGTAGTCTGGAATTTTTATTTTTAAAAAATGCCATTTTGAATGAACAGTTGACCCAAAGTTATTTATTTTATTTTTTTGTGGTATGCTTCCCAGAGGCGAAATAAAAATGAGTCAACTGAACAGCCAGCCACTGTTTTCCTTCTAAAATATGCCCTTGTACAATGAAAAGACAATTTATCAACGTAGCAACTGACACGGGTGAATTAGTGAAGTGTACCTTTCCTGCCTATTAGAGTGCACTTCATGGTTTCTATTAAATTTAGTCACTGTCTGAGTTCAAGGTAGCATCTGTCATTTTTCCCTGCTCATGCTGTGCAGTGTGAGCATAATGTAGTAATTTTAGCATGGCCTTTAGGCTTTTTTGATGCCTTCCTAGTGTTATTCCTTCACACCGTTAAGGGCCAGACTGTGAGATCAGAAAAACACACAGATGCCGACTGTCTCATGGAATCAAAACTTTCATTTAAGTAGGGATTTTTCCATAAATTGTTTTTTCTGACCACTACAGCTGCTTTGCAGGTGGGAGTCAATGTTGATTCTGGCCAGCATTCTAAACCTTTGAGCTGTGTTTCACTGGTGTTGTGTTTTGCTGTTTTTAAATCATGGCAGTTCCATGCTGTTCTTTTGCTTTATCTGTTTTGGTCCTGAAGCAGAAGTTTTTACTCAGGGTCATCAGCAGAAGGCTGTCCTCTGATAGCTTTCCATTCTGAAAGCCTGAGAGTTGGTAAAAGGGAGTACATTTGTGGAGCCCTTGGTGCTCTCTGAATGTGGTTGTTTTCTTGCAGATGTTTCATTACCCAACTAGGTAACATCATCAGTGCTAGAGGGCAGTGGGGATTTGCAGGAAGGAGGAGGAGGAAGATTGTGGTGTCCTTGGTGCTCTTTGAGCTTGTTGTTTTCTTGCAGATGTTTCATTACCCAAAGTAGGTAACATCATCAGTGTTAGAAGGGAGTCGGGTTTGCTCTCTACAAGGAATCAAGGAACCACCAAGAGCACTCCCACCAACACTGATAGGAGAAGCCACTAGTGTATACGCAGAGAACAAACTCCACTCCCTTCTAATGAAATGTTTGCAAGGAAACAACCGAGCTCAGAGAGCACCCAGAACACCACAGTTCATCCCTGATCTACAAATATTCTCTTCGGTTGGAGATTATATTTTCGGGAGCGATCCCTCATTTATGAAATGTGCTCTTCACCCACCTGATTGGGAAAGTCTCCATTTCTGATGCTTACCTCAAAGCCCTTCAGCTTCCTAAGCAATAGCAATAGCACTTAGACCCCACTTCATAGTGCTCTCCAGCCCTCTTGAAACGGTTTACAGGGTCAGCTTATTTCCCCCAACAATCTGGGTCCTCATTTTACCCACCTCGGAAGGATGGAAGGTTGAGTCAACCTTGAGCCTGGTGAGATTCGAACTGCCAAACTGCTGGCAGCCAGTGATCAGCAGAAGTAGCCTGCAGTACTACACTCTAACCATTGCGCTAAGATATTTTTTTACCGTCATAGGAACATCCTTTCACAGCTACTCCTCTTTTAGCGACCACAGTTGGGATGGACAACCCAGTTGGTGAATAAATAAAGTTGAGTAAATCTAGAAGAATGTTCTTAGTATTTATTCTTTTCTTTAAATTCAGCATCAGCTTGAGAGAGTTGAAAACGATACTTCCGTCCGTTAACTTCAAAGTGAACAGTGTGAAGTACTTGAAAGATAAATTTGCGGTGAGTATTGGTTTAAGCGGCATGTCCTGCAGTTTACCTATTATCATATATTTTACATAGTTTCAGAATAATCCATCTACTGGGTTTCATTGGAGAACAGATTTTTTTTTCTAACCCTAGCCCTGGATGTTTTGTTACTAGCCTTTCCTAGAACTGCTGAGAGAGGGCTGTAAAGCACTGTGATGGGTGGGAATTTTAATAGCAATAGCACTTAGACTTCTATGCCACTTCACAGGGCTTTACAGCCCTCTCTAAGCAGTTTACAGAGTCAGCCTATTTGCCCCCAACAATCTGGGTCCTCATTTTAACCACCTCGGAAGGATGGAAAACTGAATCAACCTCAAGCCAGTCAGAATTGAACTGCTGGGTCAACCTTGAGCCAAGTAAGATTCGAACTGCCAAATTGCAGGCAGTCAGCAGAAGTAGCCTGCAGTACTTCATTCTAACCACTGGGCTATCTGGGTTGCTGTTCCCATTTGGGATGAATATGGGTG